AATGTAACATTATCTTTTATTAAGAAAGTATTTTCTCTTATCAATGTATATGTGTCAAATTGGTTTTCTTCTTTTTTTTTTTTTTCCTCCTCCCCCTCCCCCCCGAAGGTGGAAAGAGTAATGAAGGGGGAACCAATATTAGCTATGACTCTTAACTAGTACTGTTTACATTGGGGAAAATAAGAAGAGGAAAGTCTTCTAGGATGGGAGCAAGACAAACTGTTGACTTCAAGCTAGCAGACTTCAGTAGACACAGGGAATCAGTAGGCGAGATTTTTTTTTTTACCTCCTCCCCCTCCCCCCCGAAGGTGGAAAGAGTAATGAAGGGGGAACCAATATTAGCTATGACTCTTAACTAGTACTGTTTACATTGGGGAAAATAAGAAGAGGAAAGTCTTCTAGGATGGGAGCAAGACAAACTGTTGACTTCAAGCTAGCAGACTTCAGTAGACACAGGGAATCAGTAGGCGAGATCTTGTCTAGATTTGAAGAGAAAAATAAACAACGTTAAGAAGAGAAATCCAGGGAAAACTCTTTTATTCAAGTTGCATATGATTTTGAAAGCTCTCCCTTTCAAATGTTTAGGAAAATAGCACTGAAGTATTTGTTCAAACAACTATCATTGATGGCCAAAGAGCCTTGGAAGTAGTTTCACTGTTACAGCAGGACCAGCAGAGGGAACACATATGTTGTTTCTTGTAGGATCCATAAAAATAATGCGGAAAAAATCTTAGTAGTAGTAATGAAATGCATATATTTTAAATACTGATGTTTCAGGGGCTGTTTTTCTACTTCGTCCCTTGTATAATACTTTTCAAGGTGATTGCATTTTGGGCTTTGATTTAGTATATTTGATCCTTCTTCTCCTTCACCACTTCTTTTACGTTTTTTCCCATTGCTGCTTTTGTTTTGTTTCTGTTCTTCTCTGTTTGCTGCTGGATGTGTTGGCTTGAATATTTTGTTGGGCAGGAGACATCGTAATAGGCTTTTTAAAGTGGGCTCCTTTTTATCGATGACTTTTTCTATCTAATGGATAGCATTGTTGCAGTGTCACATAGGCTTTTGTTTTGGTTTGTTTTTTGTTTTAAGTTGTACGTTCTGAAATCTCCTTGCTGTAGTTACCCTGACTTGCTGGAAGAGCTTTGTTTCAGTAACAATCTATTATTGCAATATGCTCCCTGATAACTTGTCGAAGTAAGACATAACGCACTGTGTGATTAGAGTTGTCCACATGGTAGTGGTTCATTTTAGTAAATTAACATGTGGTGAATGCCACTATAAGACAAAAAAAAAAAAGGAATAATACTCTAAACAGGGCTAATATTGGTGAGCAGTTTATTCTATGGCACTGATACATGAGGAAGAGGTGAAAGAGTTCGAGAGAGAGCAATTTGACTACTGAGATTCTGTTATTGGAAGCAAAAGACAGGGAAAAAAACCTCCTTTTGTTTTTAAGCTGTGGAATTTTGAGTAAATTAAATTATCAACCATGATAGCCCTGTCTGGGGCAACGCACAGGGGTGGACCTTTTAAAAAGCATTGCAGAATTTTAATGTGCATGCCAGTGAAGCAATTACTCCCATCTCTAGATTGGACTATCTGATTTAGTGTGTCAGATTCTTTAAATGAACATGATATGCCAAATGAAATAATGGGCACAAATTGAGCTTGCATCCTGAGTTTATTCATCACTTAATAAATTATTTCTTCGGCTAGCTTTCAATTACCAGGAAAATGGAAGAAGCAGATGTCTCGGGCATCAAATATCCCAGCATTAAGTGTTTCATTTGTCTCGCTGTTCAGTAGCTGCATGGAGGCGTAGAACTAGTTTGAAATTTTACGCTGGGAAAAGCTGACTAGAAGACAAGAGTCATTTAACTTGTCATTAAACATGATGGAACAGACTGATGTGACCCGTGAGACAATTTAAATTATTGGCTTCCAGTCAAAAGGTAGAAATGACCTGTCAGACCAATTTGACTGTGATTGATTCTTAATTGTGTCAAAGTTGTGAAAACAACTCTGTTCTCTTTGTGGCTCCTGGGTTTTTTTTTATTTTTTTGTTCTGACAAATGCCTCCCAACTCTGAATAAAAAAGATTTTAAATAAATTCTTCAAAGAGTTAGTGAATTAATTGCCACCTGAAAGTTGTTTGCAGTGACCGATCCTAGGTGATCCTGCAGTGACCCAGACTCTCGGGTTTTCTGCACAGGATGGGCACAGCAGCAAGGACGGCTCCAGTCATGCTTACAACCTCCGTCCCTCGCAGCTGTGAGCACCCCAGGTCCCCAGGCTGTGAGTACCTTGGCTTTGGCATCAGTTAGTGCAGATCCAAGGCTATTCCAGCTGAGACCAGGTAGCTGTAGACAGAAGTTGTTATGAGAACAGAGGACTGCTTCGAGCATCCACCCTTCTTTTGGCTAGTCCCCTGCACCAGGAGCTGGGGAGGTGACGGAAAGGCCTCTTCTACCACAATAAGATTAATTTATATCTGCCTGGTACTGCCAGAGGGAGCCAAATAATCAAACTTGTTTGTTCCTTTCCAAACAATATTCTTATGTAGAAGTATAGTGCGGATGATAAAGAATCCTTCCCAGCTCGTTCAGGAGGTGAGTTTGATCCCGTTGTTGGATAAATCCAAATAATCTTGATTTGTCAGGAGCAGGAAAGTTGTGGTGCTATCTGAATCACTGATGTGGGGGTGCGATGCTTCCATTTTCCAGTCCAGAGCTGCTCACTTTTCATCTGTTGTGAAATGATTTCTGTGCAGCATTTATAAAGTGCTTAGATATCCTCTGTAGATGAAAGGTGTTATATAAATGCAAATTTCATTCCTTTCATTTAAATTTCATTTAATAAATAAATAAATGGTTCAGGTTTTAGTGGGAAAGACGCTCTGAGACCTAATACTGCATCTGTATTCTGGATATACCTGTGGAGAGAGGTTAAGGCCACTGATTGTCTTTCAGAGCCTAACAGAATTAATTTTCACTTGTACCAAAACAGATTTTTGCAGGCTGAATAATAATGAAATAAGTGAAGAATCCACTGGCTCTGTTAAATTGGGTATCTCATCCCTATGAGTAAGGAAACAGAGAAAGGATGCATTGCTCAATTAGCATTTTAAATTAATTTTTCAAGGCTATTTACTGAGAAAACTGAAATTTTAATTAAAGTAGCAAATAATGCAATTCACTCAAAAGCTTTATGAGATTCTTTTTTCTGTCACATTGGGGAAAAAAAAAATCCAGTGCTTAAAGAAATGTTTTAAAGCAAGAAAAATTACATTTGGAGTAAAGAACAAGTAGTTTCTACAAAATACTGTGGTTCTTTCAGTAAGTAAATGGTACTGAAGTAAAAAGGTGATGAGGGTGGTAGATATTTAATACAAATGTGTCCTAAAAATGCTGTGGTCAGAAATATTGCGTATTTATTTGAAAAAGATGTAGCCTAATAATAGAAGAGATTCCTGTGAATGTATTCCATATGGTATTTAAAAGGCATCTACATGGAGTTGCAGATAAAATGGTTTTTTGGATTGATAAATGGGACTGTGTCTAAGAGAACAAGCGTGGAAAAGACTACCTTTTTTACACAAAACTAATTATTTTTATTATTATTATTAGAACATGGGTTACAAATGTTTAATTTTTAACTTAGTAATTTTTTTGCTTTGGATTGTTGATGCTGCTAATTTATGGGGCTTTTGTTCTTACTGCTGGTAGCTTACTTCTTTTTTTTTTTTAAACCACTTTACTACTATTAGAAACTGTTCCTATCAGTAATTGGCAGCACTGTTTCAGAGCTCTTCAGACTGCTTAAAAACAGGTTGATCTTTTTGATAATAGAAAACAAACTATACAGTTTTCCAGTTTATAGTGAAATCTTGTGTGAATGGGAAGAGAAGCTCTTAAGTTGTTGGAATACTTAATATTGTTGAAATAATTGCCTTAGTCCTTAATAGTTGAAATAGATATGCTCAACAAACGATTAATTAAATTGTAAGCTTTTCTTTTAATTACAGTCTATTAGTACCAGGAAGGAATTAATACTGTATAAATTAATACATATAACTGAGTATATATAAATGAATAATATAGTTATTTCACTTAAATATCTTGCTTTGAATATCCATTTTAAATTCTGAGCAAGCTGACTTACATTGGTGTCCAAGCTGCAATGAAAGTGCTTTGCAGTTACAACTTACTATTAATTTACAACAATATTACTAACTACATGTATTCCCTGAAATAAAGTTCTAGGGAGTAGAAACGTTTCCTGCTAATGCTAGACTGGGAGCACATGGAGATGCCACACGGTTGGGGGGTAAAGGGCCACCGCGGGTACGGGAGCAATCTGGGAAAGGGATTTGGGTTACCAAGCTGCAGAGGAGCAGCACAAATATAAGCCATGAGGCTCTCGGCATGAAATGGTGATCTTTTTAAGAATAGAAGTTGATTTAGTAACTGCCAGTAATGACAATTCCTCCATGACCTCTAGTGCTTTTTTCCTTTGATGGTTGCTTATCACCGCTTAAACTGGGGAGGGGGAAAAAAAAAAACCCAACCCAAAACATTGTCAGAGTTTGTTTACTTCCCAGCTGTAGCACTTGCTGTTGCTGTGCCTTCATGTGCCGGAATTAAGTGCTTCTTAATGAAATTTTATTCCCTGTGATAGTATTTTAAATTACAAATGAGCCATGCCTTAATTGTGGTTGATAACAAGCTCGGAGTTTCTCAGTACAGATCATGCCTCTCAGTCATTTGTTTTTAGTTTCTAGAAACCTTTCACAGTTTGTTAACATCTTGAACTTTATAGAGTCTTGAACTGATCAAAATACTCTTAGTTTGCAACCAAAATATAGAGCATGTTTTCTTTTGACAGTCAGAAGATCGTTCTTGACTAGTTTATGCTTAATATGAGCGTTTAGTAAAGTAAGGGATGAATGGGCATTGCCAGTTTGCTTCAAAACTTGTCTCCTGTCTCTTTTCCAGTTTCCTTTTGGCAGACGCTTGCCATGCGATATCTATTGGCATGGGGTATCATTTCATGATAATGATATATTCTCAGGTCAAGTCAACAAGTTTCCAGGTACCTTACTTATGTTTCTAAACAAATGCTTTAAAAACATGATTATTTTAACTGTTTATGTGGTTTACTGTTTTTTAACGTGAATTATCTGCCTAATCAGCTGATAGTATTTTTAGCATGTTACCATTTTTGGTAGGTGATTTCTGCTTAGGGGGTAAGAATATCAGAATGGGTGTCTTGAACAATTTCTGAACTGAGATTTGTTTTGGAGAGAAAGTGGTTTTGATAAAAAGAATACTTCATATGTATGAATTTAGGAAAAATAAGAGTGTTAGGCTATAATTTAAGTGAAGTATGCAATTATTGTCTGTTATCTAGCATTGATAACAGTGCTGTGTCTGGATTTGGTTTTGATTCAAAGTGGAAAGAACCTGTTTTGTTTCGTACTCTGGCTTATCTCAGGGAGAAGCTCAAAGCAGAGTTCCTCAAATGGATTTTTTTAATATTGAAGAGTTCATGTCAGCCCTCATCTTATGATGACTCTTCTACTTTTTTAAGCTCCCTTTTTTCTCATTTAATCCCTGTTGAGATCTCTCTAAATAAGAGCTAAGAGCTTAGGTATTGACTTATCTAAACCCTTTACTTCAGATTTATTGCTGCTGTTAGTATGCTGTGAGAGTAAGAACCCTCCGATATCAAGCTTTATGCTTTATTTACTCTGACTTTCTCCTGTCTGTGGGAAGTTCACATTCAAGTATCAGATGATGTAGTTTTCTGGTGGTTTAAATCTGTTAGATGAATGTTACCCTCTCTATATTCTGGCTTCTACGTGGTAAGCAAGTGGCCTGCACAGTAGTCAAAACCAGAGCCCTTCAGAACTAGACTTGATTTCTAGGAATGTTGTGCTAACCTAATGCTGGGTTTTACTAAAGTCTTTCTCTTGAAGAAGAGATTTTGATGCTTTTCTTAGTTACTTGTGAGAGATTCAAAGAATCTGAAAGGGTTGGTCGTCAGGAAGACTTAGAAACTTTTCCATAAAAATAGCTTTTTAGTCATGTTCCTGATGGAAATAAGACTTAAGCAAATGTGTGTGTGTGTGTTCCCTGTCACTTTCTGTCCTCCTTGTACCTCTGGAACCTCCTGGCCAAAACTAACCACACTCAACAGAGGTTTGCAGTCACAGACTACTGAGTTGCTGCAGGTTTTGTGGAAATTTGCTGACCATGTAGGGAAGAAGCCCGCAGATGATGTTCTCACTGAGAAAGAAGCTGCAGCATGAACCTTATAAACTGTAATATCTGAAAGCATTTAAACAACACAAGAGTAACCCTGAATGCCCTGATCTTGGGAAAAGCTTCTACCGGAGCGCTCTCAGGTCTGGACATGGCATGATCTAAGCATGAGATTCAAAGCTGCAGGAAAGCAGCTAAGTTTGGCTGCTCACAAAATAACCTATTCTTTCTGACGTAGTTACTTAAATGTATGCAAAGTAAACACAAAGTGGTTGATTATATTTAGATGACATTTTTACCTATTCCTGGAACGATAGCAGGCTATGGAATAATTTTGGATTATGGCAAAGACAGTAGTTACTATTTGACTAAAGCTTTCCCTCTATTATTCTGAGCTGTATTTTTGATAATTATTTTTTTCTAGTATGATATAGTAATACATACAATATGAAATATGGCAGGGGAATGCTACAAATATTTTGTCAGATTTTAAATTTTAAAAGGTTTTCAGCTTTATTGAAAGCAATGACTAGAGTGCCTTACCAGTAGGGTAAGTAACGATACAACAATCTACTTTTAGGATGAGACTTCAGTGCGGATTTTTCATCACATTTAGACACTGTCTATTCTTTTCCTAGGCATGACGGAGATGGTACGTAAAATTACACTGAGTCGGGCAGTGCGAACAATGCAAGATCTGTTTCCTCTTGAATATAACTTCTATCCTCGATCCTGGATTCTGCCAGAAGAATTTCCCCTCTTTGTGGCTGAGGTAGATTACTTTTACTCTCAGAATAGTATAACTTGTTGGATATTGTTGCCATGCCATTCTTTAGTTTTTCATACCTACCAGATTATTTAAAATCACACTTGGGTGCTGTGGATGACATCTTTTTCAGTTTGCCTGAGATCAGACATAGCCTGGATGAACTGCTTTTGTTTGTTAGGTTCTAGAATAAACTTAAAAACAATTATGCTTCTCTGCAATGCCAGAAGAGATGTCTGAAAATTAAACATGGTAGAACCATTAGCCCTTTCCCTGCATATTCTACGGAGTTTAAAAGGGCTGAGGAGGTTCCAGTGCAGCGTGTGGAGTGTGGTACTTCACCAGGTTCATTGTCACTGAAGTCTTTTTAGTCTATCTGGCCTGTTCTATCCAAATCCTTCAAAAGAGCATTTTGTACTGTGCGTTGTTAAATATACTCACATCTTCCTGAGTAATTATTTGTTTGAATCTCCTGTCAGACTGTTGCTTTGTTTACATATTCAGAATGTAATAAAATGCCATTCTTTTTCAGCTTTTTTGAAAAAAAGTGATGCTGTGTGTTGGTGTTTGGTTCTGTTATTACAAATATTTTTAAAAATACTGTATGTGTTTGTTTTAACCCTGTCTGACTGGCCCAGTGCATTCTTGTATTCTACAGTATCCTCTGCTTGGAAAAGTGAGAGAAAAAGGTATGGACTTTAATAGACTTCTATACTATGTGTTACTTCTTAGATAATTACCATATCCACAATCCAATTAAATCCATGAACATCTTTTAATATATACTTTTCAAGTGTGCTGGGTCACTGCCATGGCACTGCTAGTTAACAGTAAAAATTAATAAAATCCCAACAGCCTTATTGCTTTAGGTATAAGACCAGTTTGTAAAAAGAGTGTAAATTATCCAATCAATTTAGCAATGACAGGTAGGTAAGTGCAAATAACTTGGAAGTAAACTTTCAAAATGGTGCACTGGGGTTCTAGTGATGACTCTTTTGGGAATCGTGCCTGTCTCAGTTGCAAGGCACTGATGAACTGAGCAGCGCGTAGCAATGTGGTCTGTACATCGGGTTAAATGCACAGACCCTCACGCTGTCAGCAGGTGGCACTGCAAATAAATACTTTTCCCTGGTTGAACGGTTACTGGAGTGAAAACGATTCGGTTTTTGTTCCAAGAATAACAGATGTCCAGTAACACACTCCTAGGAGTTTCCTTTGCATATGTTCTTCCATCTGTGTTTGAGAAAAGCGTAGTTCTTGTTATCAAACATTATATTTTATATTGTAAGAGTTTATGTTCTACTTAACACAAGTTTGTAATGTAACCCCTCCAAAACAAGAAAAAATTACAACACACAAAATTCCAAATCCACTGTGAACCATAAAATCAGAACACTTTTCACTTGCACTTTCATGAGGTCTAAGTAGGAGCTTTCCAGCCTTTTCTGTTGTTTATTTGTTCATATGTGGTTTTGTTTGCTTTACAGCCAAGGGACCCTAATGCTGCTGAAAATGTCAGCTCTCTCAGACTGAATTTTCAGCTTATTCACAAACAAGTACAACACAGCATTGGCGGTGCCTGCATGTTAGACATACCCCTATAGGAACTGGTATACACTTGAATATGCAAATGCCATGTGTACGTTTATCTGAGCAAAAGATGATTTAGCCATCTCTGGTACTTCTGGAAGTAGAGCTGTATTGTCATGGCCTGCAGCTACTAAGTAGATAGCTCTAGATGTGTCATGCTGAAACTCATGTTGCTGTACCTTCACTGTTACTAGTATTCAAGTCCTTTAGAGCATAGTTAATTACCAAAAGTCACAAATTCACTGTCAGTGTAGGTATAGGTTAGACATGAGAAGATGGTTCGGTGCTGTTTGTAGTATAGGATTTTGTTGCAAAGGGCTGGACTGAGAAATGAACACCTATGATATTTTGCCTGTAATAGAAATGACTACTGAAAGAAGAAACTCCTTGAGAATTTCAATCTTGCTGCCTCCTCCTGAAGCACTACAACATTTCAAAACAATTTCTCTCTCAAATATTCTTACCGTGCCTCACTTCTGTAGATGTGATCGTGAACTTTTATCATACATTTGTATCAATAACTAAATCAAATGCTGTCAGCTTTTCCCACTTTCCCCTATCCCTAAATCTAGGTAGAAAACACTGCAGCTAATCTAATATTAATTAGCTAGTAATCGATGGGAGAGCTGCACTCCTAAGTTTGTTGCGGATGAGCTTCATATTGGGAAATATCAACAAAATGGTAGTTCCCTTAGTGTCATTCATATTAAACTGAAGTGGTGATAGGTGTTTTTAACAAGGGCTTAAAAGTTAATTTTACTAAGTAGATATATATTTACCTATTTTCAATATTTTTTACCTTCTTAAACATTCTGTACTAATGTGTCACCGTAAGAAAAGATGAGTTACAGATAAGGAAATCTCTCAGGTGCTACAGTAATCACCCCTTCACTAACAGAGAAGAATCTGTTGGAATCTGTGTGCTAAGAACTTATTCCTAATAGGAAATTCCAATTTCTGAAAAGTAACTAGCTTGGGATTCAAACCAGGGCCTTGATTGCTCTCATACTGCCTTCTTTTTGTGTTGTCTGTGAGAGTGATGAATAGGCCTAGTATGATTAATTTTTAATAAGAATCTGATTTCCAGCACAGCATATTTTTGGTGGTTTAATCAGGTTTTCAGTTTTTGGATACCTCTTAGGCATAGACATGAATATTCTAGTCTTTGTGCTGTCAAATCTTATAGCCCATTATATGCATATTTTTCAGAACACTATATTCATTCAGCCTGTGTTTCCTCATGAAAGGCAAACCTGCAACTGGATCAGATGTCATACCATTAGACGTCATATTCTCCTCTTGCTGTTGCCTGTAAATGGTTAACATATTTTTAAAGATAATTTCCTTTTGTCAAGCTAAGTACACAGAAATATCTCACTTCATATGAAGTAATTTTCCTACATGACTGACTTTTCTAAGTCTGGAGAAACCTGCTCATAATGAGAATTTGAAAGAACATAGTTGAGGGGATTGTGGAGAATTTGAAGACGACTGTCGGGAATCTCCTTGAAGATCCAGAAACCATCTGCTTTCTTCAAGACAGTCAAGCTGCTGAAAAACAGACCGGCTCTGGATTACTATTCCCCCTTACCCCACCATCCTGTCTTCATCTGCCATGTGTAAGTTTTGATGGACTAGAAAATGATGGAGAAAACTCTTTCCATTTGGCTGGAAATGAAATCTTTAAGTATGAGATCTACGAGGCCAATGATTGTTAAAATGCAGGACTTCAGAAGCAGGTTGCTGTTGCATCTTTAACAATAGTCCCCAGAAAGCAGCATCTTTTTTGAAAAGGTGCTGCTGTAGCAGAGCAGAAGGAGCCTGAGGCGTGAACAACAGACGTGGGAACGGGAGGCAGATTGCCCCGGCTGGTTTCACAGAGGTTCTTTATTACTTTCTGCCCTAGTAGACCGTGATTGGCGCTTCATATGCACAACTAGAGCCATAGTAGGGTATGTTTAGTTGTGGAGGTTTAAGATTAACCAAATATCTTTCTGGGATGCTGACTTTAACAACATGTGAACCAGAGAGAATCTCCTAGTATGCAGAGTAATGTCACGTCAGGGGAAGATTATTCTTTAATTGTAGAAAGACTAGGGCATAAATCCTGCTTTCCTTCTTTGCACATCTAGGCCTGCTGATCTACTTGGACCTATTTATCCACACATCGTTTATGTAAACCTGATCTCCAGTGTGGCGTTTTATCCCTCAAAGTGACTTATTTTGAAGAAGGATCTTTCAGTGAGTTAGCGTGACACTTGTCCACGAGAAAAATCCTAGTTTAATCTTGAATTTGTGCTGTAGTTAGTAGGAAGGCTTTTAGCAGTGTGAGTCTCAATGAAATAAATAACTGGATAGGATGGAGCCAAAAGTACTTCAGGCCTTAGGAACGTCGCCGCTAGCAAAGTTGTCCCTCTTACGTGGGTCAGCAGCCTAATGTAGTTGCAGCAGAGGGTGCTGTCCAAAAATCATGATGATCTGACCAGTGCTCAGCCTTTTCCTGCATGCTAATTTTTTCTCTTTCATTCTGCAGTGCCAGGGCTCGTGGTGGCAATTGACTGTTTTTTCTTTGTTAGCTTGTATCCTCAGGCTTCTTAAAGTCCATCTCTAGTTGTTGCTGGCGAGCCACAGGCCTGTGTAAAACCATATCACCAACTTGTTCAGCACATGTCTGGCTGAATGGAGAGAATAGCAGCTGCAGGTCTGGTGCCGTAAAATCTGTGAATGCAAGAAAAGAGTGGTCTGTACTGCGGCATCCCTCCGTTTTGAAAGGAAGAGATTAAGTGCTTTATTCTTCTGAATCCCACGAGTAGCTGATAAACGTGTTAGCCTGCATGCTGCATTTTCTTTAGCTGCATTCTTTGTTAGGGCTCCCTGTGCCAGTGCTGTTAGGGGTTTCGTGAGCTACAGTCCTTCAGCATCTATTCATTGAAACCTGGATTTTATAGTTGCATTTTGATACATTACAATTTGTGCTCTAACAATATCTTTCCTCCTAAATATTTGTGAATGCAGTGCCACTGTATTTACACCTGTAGGGACTTTATCTACATGCAGAGAACAGCGATAGAGCTGGGGGAGCTACAGAGGCTTCCTCACTAGGGTCCTGTTGCTTTACCATGAACTTAAAGGGCTGCCCGAGAGGGTAACGTGGCAGTTCATTTTCCACTGCTTGCTCAGTCCTTGACCTCCAAACCAGTTGCCAATTAATACCACTTCCCTTGGGTTTTCTTTTTGTTCTTGGTATGTGCCAGTTGGATCACTACATTCACATTCCACTTGCCAAACAGCTTCCGATAGCAGTGAGCACCACTGGTGCTGACGGGATTTGGAGAGACGGCAGATGGGTCTTCAGTCAGCCCATACCTCAGGTAGCTGCTTTTTTCCTCCTATGCTTCTGAAGGCCGAGACATGTTAACTCACTGGCTTAAACATGCTCATATTCTTTCCTTGCTACATGTTGTAAAACATGCCATATTTTATTAATAGTTTCTAAAATTCATCTAAGATAACTCTAAATCCTTCCTGACTTTCTTTCTTTCTCAATTTCACTTCTACTAACTGAGGCATCCAAATCTCTGCAGTTTTCTTTTGCTAGACAAGTAATAAATAAACTAAAATTTATTTAGGCAGTGGGAGATATGCATGTAACATGAAATATCTGATATTCAGCAGATGTGTCAGGCCCTTACAGCGACCTACTTACTGTCTTCCTGATTTTTTTCATCCTCAAATAAAATGCATTGAAGCTTGCAAAGTTTAGGTTTGCTTCTTGGGAATGTGAGCTTTGTAGGCAATTTAGATGGTGTAATTGCTCTTTTATTTTATGTAAAAAGATTCCCTAATTATATCAGTTGGGTTTTTTTTTGAGAGAGAGAGGATTTTTGAGTGAATATATGCTATTTACAAAAGTGCAGATTTGAATCCAGCCATTAGTTATTGGTGCCATGTTTAATTTTGACTCACTGTATCCAGTTGGGAATGACATTAACCTCCAAACATTCCCTGCTAAATGAATGTATCAGTTTAACATGGTCAAAAGCCAAAACAACCTTATTACAATAATCATGTTTTGGACTGCCAACTATTAATAGTCTGTTCCAGGTGGGATTATTTAATTTTCTCACAGATAAAATAACTGATTCTTTAGGAAGGAAAAATGGGCGTTTCCCTTTTTTTTTTTTTTTACTTCTTTATGTAACTCCCGTTAATTTGTTAAAGCCAAAAACTCCAAACATATTTACTGTTGCTTCCAAGAAGCTAGTTTCTATAAAAGGCTGTTGTCTGTTATGGTGCCAAGCCCTGTTTATGCCCCAGAAATCAAGCTGCTGATATCAGTATGTAGAAATGACAGTGGGACTGAGCAAAAAGTTCAGATTCAACTGCCTTTTGAATTTGAGACATTTGGGTTTAGATCCGAGTTTTAGAACTTTTTTCCTTTTTATTCTTCTCACTTTCTGTGTGAGGATGCAGACACCTCTCTGTAATCCTATAATGCTCTGTAATTTACTTTTGTGTTTCATCTTACTAAGGCCACATCTGGGATTCTGTAGGACAGTTAGGTTCTGACAAACCACGGATACTTCCTCATCACTGTTACCATAATTTTTATTTGTGGTAAACCATTTCCCTTATACGCCCCAAGAATCCAGGACACAGTGTGGAAAAACCCTCAAGGTATGGGTATAATGGCTTATACGATACTCATGGATATCCGCAAAGCAGCGAGAGAACTGGATACACGAGTATCGAGGTCCACGCTGCTGTAAACAATACAGAAATAGGTTGTATAGTCCTTCAGCAACATTCTTACGAAGTATTAAAGTTGACTTTAACAAACAGAGATCTTTCATGGCAAGGCACTACAAAGAGTGGAAAGAAACTGATACTGAAAGGTACTGGTTTGCTAACCTTTCCTTTTTTTTTTTTCTCCCCTCCTTTCTCCTTTTTCTTGCTGTTTCTGTGTCTTGATGATCTTTATACACATGCTCACAGAGTGTTAGTAGGTGTCAAAAATTCTTACCTGCTATTCCCTTTCTGGTGGGGGCATCTCCCATCACCCCATACATAGTAAGTTCAATTGTCAATGTTTGTCTTTTGGAAAAAAATGTTTTCCAGAATGATTCTATTAATGTAACTGGTTAGCAGTAAGGAGTATTTGACATAACTTTTTAAGAAGTCTGCAAACTGGAAGCATTTCTCTGTGAAAGAAGTGAAATGTATCTTGTGTAGTGACTTTTGTAAGCATTTTTGCATATTAAAATGCATTATGCTGCATAGATATTGGTGTTGGCTGTTTGCGAGCTCGTACGCTAGAGCGCACTGTGTTTCACACTGAACCAGCACAGAAGCGGTGAACGTCTGAACAGAGATTGAACATGTGCACTAGCTTGAGGAAATGACAGGCCAGGCATGGAGTGCTTTGTAGATTCATCCAAAGGTTTTGATTTGGTACTAGACACCATCAAATTCTCCACCAACTTTCCTCGCTTTCCTGATTTCACACTAGGTACATCTAAAGAAAGTATCTGAATTGTCATGTGTTATGAACAGATCTTCCTAATACAAATCAAAGCCACGGAGAAGAGTTGTTGAATCGTGATAGAATTTTCTTTATCTTGCATTGGATAGAAAGGTAGTAATTGCATGCCAGGCCTGAAGGGAATTCTGGTATAATTTAGAAAACCTTCCATTTTGGGGAATGGTGGTAGGTAGCAACTGAGGCATAAACTCTATGCTTTGTTTAGTAAATTTGTGGTATTTACTTAATATCTGTACATGGCTCAATATTCCCTAGTTCTACTAACACTGGGTATCTGATTGTGAAAATATTCAGTGGTGAAAAAAGGTATTATCAGTGCCAAATTTTTACTTTATCCTTCCTTCTTCCAGTATTGTCTGTCTGCATTCATACCTCAATAAATAAGGTGTCTTCCCTTAGGTTAATGATTATCTTTGTCAGTAGTTGTTCAAAATGCAACACAAAAGTTTAACTTTGCAGTTTCGTACACATTAGTGACTAATAAAATGGATCTCATGAGATACAGAGCATTTCATTCTGTAAATTGGTACATAACATTAAAAAGAAGTTCCTGAAATCATTTATACAACGGCTTGTTAAATAAAATGACCTTTTATCTGTGCTAATCATTCCCTATTCATGCTTTTTCGTTTGTCTTTGTGCTTGTCAGCACTGTTTATCTTCTACCTTTTTTGCACGGTGTTTACTACTATAGTGATGTGATCATGTTATTTTTATTTATTTTTGTTTATGAATGCAGTTTGTTGGCTTTCATAGTATCAGCCCTTCTTCTCCCTCAATTAGTGTCTTTCAGTGTAATTCTTTTCATTCTAGGTTCGTATGATGAAAGACAGCGATCCATCCTGGAAGCCCACTTTTATTGTAAAACCTGATGGAGGCTGCCAGGGGGATGGAATCTACCTCATTAAAGACCCAAGTGACATCAGACTGACGGGAAGCATCCAGAGCCGGCCAGCTGTTGTCCAGGAATATATTTGCAAACCACTGCTTGTTGACAAACTGAAATTTGATATTCGTCTTTATGTCTTACTGAAATCTTTAGAACCCTTAGAGATTTATATAGCCAAAGATGGACTTTCTAGATTTTGTACAGAGCCCTATCAAGAACCCACTCTAAAAAATTTGCACCAGGTTTTTATGCACTTAACCAACTATTCACTAAATATCCATAGCGGGAATTTCATCCATTCTGACAATGTAAACACTGGCAGCAAGAGGACTTTTTCAAGCATTCTGTGCAGACTGTCTTCCAGAGGAGCTGATGTCAAAAAGCTGTGGTCAGATATAATTTCACTGGTGATTAAAACAATTATTGCACTGACACCAGAACTGAAAGTTTACTATCAGTCTGACATACCAGCAGGAAAGCCTGGGCCAACTTGCTTCCAGGTAGGTTAGAATTTCTGCCAGGAATGCAGTTATTTCTATGCATGGATTAATTTTCTAGATGTTTAATTTCTTTTCTAAAAGCTTTCTCTAGTTATGTTGCTGATCACTGGTTGGATGTAGTGCATCCACTGGATAGCATTGCGTGAGCTCAGACCTTAGGTTCTCCTCACCCAAGTTTTACCTTACAAATCTCAGCCTCCTGACCTATGTTACTACTAGCCATAAACATATATGGAGAATTTCAAATGGGTATCAATCATTAGTAGCAGTATTCATTCCAGTTTCCATCTTCTAGATGTTATCACTATGAAGCTTTGCAGCTTCCTAACGCAGCTATTATGATAGCAGTCTTAAGACCCGCTTGTCATAGGTGCCCATGTTGACAGATGCCGTATTTAGAGATGGGGGTAGTGTGAAAGTAGCCATTAGTATCAAAGACAAATGGTTTCAGTAATTATTCAGCGATATAGTATATTTCTCAGTTATTTCTCTTTTGTCCTTCAAATGTTTCTTTCTCCTGAATGTTGACATTTGGATGGCCGTTGCATTCTCTAAGAACACCGTGAGTAGAATGGAAGTAACACATTGCTTGTTATGCACAGATTTTAGGGTTTGACATTCTCCTGATGAAAAACTTGAAGCCCATGTTACTAGAAGTAAATGCAAACCCCAGCATGAGAATAGAACATGAGCAAGAGGTAAGACCTTTCAACATGATAGTGATACTGGAATTAAATTGTTTAGGTTTGGTTTTCTGGTCTTTTTCCTTGTTTGAAAGACGAAAACTGTCTGCTCATATGAAATCTCCAAGGTTATCTGTAATTTTCTGCTTTGAAATCATTGCTAATCTTATACACTGGAAATATGACTTATTGGAATTGTGAAAGCTCTCCATCATCTTTGTCATAAATACATTTATTCATCATCCCCTGCAGTTGACTTAATAGTGTTTAGGGGATTGCTAATAATTTTTTCATGTTTGTATACATAATATAAATGGTAACATTGGCAGCTATCTCTTTTTTTAATATTTCAATTTACTAGAGAAACTTGCCAAAAATTGTTGTAATACCATACTGAAAATGTTAAGGTATTTGTGTATTCTGTAAGGGGTATTTTGTAATCTATCATTGTGTATTTAAAACATATGACATGCATGAAGTTTGAGCAAATGTGGAATAAATAATCCTTAGTTCTGAATAACTGTATCCCTTTGTAATTTAAAGCTTTCTCCTGGAGTATTTGAAAATGTCCCAAGCCCTGTTGATGAAGAAGTGAAAGTAGCTGTTATCAGAGATACTCTTCGTCTAGTGGACCCTCAGAAAAAAAAGAGAAAAGATGTCCAGTAAGTGTGTTGACTTCATTTTTTTTTTATCAATGCCTTGTAATAATTATAAAAGTGAAATATTTTTTCCTAATTATGTTAGTTTATCCGGGACAATGAGTTTCCAACTGTCTGTGTGACTCCTTTTACATCCACAGTGTTAACTCTTTCAGAAAAGCTTGTAGGATATTACTTGGTGGCGTGGTACAAAAAGAGTACTCGGATTTGTGGATCTGCCAGGGGAAGGTCAGGGAAAAAAACATTTCATTATATTTCTGTTTAGTGGCAGCAAGTCCACCAAATGGCATTCTCGCAGCTCAGCACTGACCACTTCACATGCTCCTTTCTTACAGGAATGGCAGAAGTGTGTAAGGAGCCATGCAAGGGCTCTAGCTCAAGGAATTGAAAAGGTCCACAAACTGACAGTAGATCAGGCTTTATCAGTTCCCCTGGAATATCTTACCTTTGATTCAGAACTGGTGCAAACAATTTAGTAACTCAGGTTTATTTATTTGTACTTTTACTTGAGGCCTCTTTTTTTATTCAAAACAGTCATGAGATGTAAATTTGTGTATTAATTTGCTTGTAAGTCACAAATTACTCTGAAAGAATTGCCCTGCTGGAGCTGAAAAGTATGAATATTGTATTTAGAAATTGCTTCCTTGATCTGTGATAATAAACATAGTTAAATCTATGATCTAGAAATGAGAGGAACTGCCTGAAGCAGCTTACACAGAAATGCTTGTGGTGGGATCAGGCTGAGAGAAAGAACATCTTTTCTGATGAAATATCTTGTTTTAAGCAGTTCCTTGGAGACATGAAAGGGAGATTTTTTTTTTTTTTTTTTTTTTGGTCCCTAGAAATTCTTGCTTATAGGCCTGCCTCCATACTAGAATACAGATTTTGTTCTTCTCTTGGCACTTAGTGGCAAGCTTAAATATGTTATTCATGTTCTACAATGATTTCAAGGGCAAACTGCTGTCCTTTTGTAGACAGAGAGTCCTGTGAACAAGACATGACTGATAATACTTAAAAGTTCTGTATTATTGTAATATTATTACAAGATCAAACTATTCTTTCAGAGGCAGTGCCCCACACATAGAGGTTGCTGTGGTCAGTATACAGAATATCTTGCAAAGCAAGATATGTGTGTTGCCTGTACTTAACCTTCACCCTTAAGATTACTTCAGTGCATGGAGCTGAAGGAAGATAATTTTTTAACCTGTAATTACGTAGTCATGTCTTCTTTTTAATGCTGAAGTTATGTCAGGCATTCATTAATTACATATCAGATACGGAAAAAAGGCAAATGATAATTACAAATAAATTCCTGGAGAACTCTGGTGTGTGTGGAACGCTCATTCAACTGAGAATTCTTCTCTGATACATTTTGAGTATTAAATAATTTATAACAGGATTAGTCGGTGATGAGATAAACCATTGGCTCTTCACAGCAAGAATTCATCAGTGATGCAGCTGTTTTTTTCAGGATAATCTGGTTAACAGAGCATCTTGCTGATGAATATCTACATGTCTTCACCGTAAGTCAATCCTATTCCTTGCTGCAAAGGGCAATATTCTGGTAACTTTTTGTGTGGATATACAGGAACTCGTGTGACAACTGCCCACCTGTTCAGCTGAGATTTACCCCTTCTACTTCAAAGTACTTTTTATTGAACTGGGGATGGTGCGTGGAACTTCTTGAGAGAGACGTGATCTTACTGTGAGCTTCAAGTAAAGGACTTCATTCTGATCACCTATGGAGATTTACATCAAAATAAAAGCATTTGAGAGAGAAACTGAGCACCAGTTGCTTTTGCCTTGTCTTTGCTAGCAAAGGTTTTGCAATGCTTTCGCTTTGTGTCCTGCCTCTCACTTGTTTCAGTGCATTTCAACTAGTTCTAATGTGTGCTCCCACGTTCCCTCTCCAAACACTCCTACCAGTAACTGCAGAGAAATGGCATCATTCCTCTGTTTGCAGGGCAAAGATAATAGCTAAATAATTGACTGGAAATAGAAAGCTGGACAGTAGTTTACCTATCCATTGTAATACTTTTTCTAGTCTAATTGCGCCTGGCAGCAGGAAAAGCAAAATTTGGCCTATTAATAGAAAAAAAAAAGTGAAAGAATTCCTGTTCTGACAGCTAACCAGCAGCAAACACTGTAGACTCTAGTTTTGATGCTAATTAAGTAATGGACATTAATCTAAGTAAAGTTTTAATGATACATGTAACACTGAGTTTGAACACTCAGGGGAAATACTGAGAAGTCTGAGCTGTATCTCAGGTAAATATTCTGCTGTGGAGATGGATTTGATTTCCCTCTAATTATCTCCCAGATTAAAATAAACGAAGCATCTAAATGAAAGTGAGTTTTAGAAGTCGTCCTGAAGTACTTCATCAGGAAAGATTAATAGCTCAGAATTTTTTTTCGTTTAATTTTGCCTCATCTTTATGGAGTTTTGATTATTTTTTTTCCTCCTTTTCATGTGACGTATAATACTGAAATAACAGCTAAGTTGAATAAGGTCAGTTTATCATGCCATACATATCTGTTAATTTTTCCAGCACAATTCCAGTCTTTACATGCACCAATCACTAGTAATTATCTTGGCACTGCCAATAATTAGTCATTGAAAATCTGCAGTGATATGAGTTCAAATGAACGTACTTAAACATACTTAGTGGCTATTGTTCCACAGTATGACTGATCTTTTCTTAGTTTTAAGAATTTGTCCTGGCCATTTAAGTACTGAGGTATGTGGTTAATATTTTGTGCGTGTAACTATTTAAACAGAAACTTTAAATTTGCGCAAAGATTTTTTTTTTTAAATAGAGGAAATATCTTCTGTTGTAGAGGTGAGGGAAGGCTTTGTGTTATTCCGTGATGCAAAGAACATAAGGAATTAAAATGGAATAAAAAGTGACACAGGTACATGTGAGGCTTTTGGGAGGGATGAACAGGGTGGGTACTGCACAGCGCCTGCTTTTCCCTGACGTTATGCAAGCGCTGCCGGACAAATCCCATATACCTCGTACGCAGAAGACCTATTCTGCATGTCAAGATTCTGAAGGCAGTAGGTGTCCCTATAAAGGTTAATGTCCTGCTTTGCTGCATTCATTTCCTTGCTGCTTCCGAATCCTCTATGTTGGCGCAATTGTAGCCAAAGTCGGATGACAGCAGAGTTTCCAAGCAACTATTAATAGAAGCTTTGGAGCCATGTACCGCTCTGCAGGGTGGTGATGTATGTCAAGGGCTCGGAGACTCTCAAGAGGAGAATCTGAAAGTGGCTCCGTGGGTTACTTTGTTAGACTGTTTTCAAGCCAGTCTGTAACCCAGAGGGTGAGTGGTGTCTGGCTCTGCCTGACCAAGTAGAGCCTGGGTAGCCCTTTCTGAAATTAAAGAAGGCAGCTAATCAGCTACATGTTGTGTGTTTTGTTTTACTTTTTTGATCTTCTTTAAAAAAAAAAAAATCCAGCTAAAAATGCATGGTTATAAAAAGAGGGTTTCTGACACACCCACACCCCCCCCCAGTGGAATTTTGCAGGAGCCAAAATGTAGGGCCTTTGTTGCCCTAGCTTTGGTTCCTAGGCTAGCCCTATTTTCCTTAGGCATCCTTAATTTGGAACTCGCTTCACTCATAATTAAGAAATTAAAACATTTAATAAAATAATATGGAAGATAGTAATTCTTTGCTTTTATTTGTGTGGCAGTACTGTTCTCATGGATTTTAAGGCTTGAGTAGATCATTGTAATCATCCAGGCTGATGACACACTGGAACAAATGCAATCGTTTGTGGCTGAGCTGTTTTCTTGGAAAGATGGAATTTTAAACTCCTCTGTAAATCTGTTTAATATTATCAAACAAAGCTTAGTTTCTTCTAGCATTACTACAGAGTGAATTCAGGGGGTAGTGATGGCCAGTAATCTTGATTTCTGTTCTGAACATCTGTCACTGCTAATTTCAGAATTATCGTGGTGGTTTTTCCAGCTTGCTTTTTTTTTTTTTTCCCCAGCAATGGTAGCTCTTTTGACTTGAATTTATGATCTAGTGAAGACCTTCAGTACCAGATTAGCCAGCTGGTCACTGTATCATCAGGAGGGAGCTTTCCTCCTCAAGTGAGAAATCTAATGTAAAAAAAGAAAAAGAGGGGGAGGGAATGTAGTTTCTTTTTACTTAACATATTCAAAGCATCGTGTATAGCATGGGTGGCACATGTCCCTTCACAGGATCACAGTATGCATTTTTATTCAAGTCTGTAATAGGCAACATGATCAGAAAGCTTGGCTACACCGACTTGAAGAGTGAAATCCTTGTCACATACTAGTACAGGGGTAAGGGGCTGAACCGTGCTCTGTAATGTTTCTACAAAGAAACTTGTATAAAGCTTGTATAGTATTAAATTTGCTCTGGATTTACTTCTTGCAGCAGAGGTGCTGTTCACAGACTGCTGAAGGTGGGAGAAGACTTGAGCTAAAGGAAATTTGCACAATTAAATGAATGGTCTAATGACACCGAACAACATTTAAAGTAAATCAACGTTACTTATGTAAACAGCAGTTTAATTAAGATAATCACTGATGCAAATCATTGTTTATGTTGTGCCTCCAACAGAAAATCCATTTTAAAAGGCTTTGCAAACTTCTATTTTTTTGTGCCTAATTTTGAATTTTTATAGTAGTAAAAGGTTATAGCTTCATGTTTGTTTAATTATTAGCAATTTATTTTTCTTAAAATTGCATTAGATTTGAGGAGCAAAAAGGAGTCTCAGTCCTGTATGCAAATACTGTATATTCTCCACTGGATGTTAGATGTAAACTATTTGAGTGGTGGTATAATTGCAAGCCGTGAGTATCATTTGGAGCGGGTCTGCTCTAAATATCTTAGGAAGATCATTTATATCATCTCATCAATGCTAATGACCTGCTTTCCTGTCCTGTCAAAAATATTTGTGCCCTAGTTTATTAATGCTAATTAATCCAGCGATAATAAGAGACTTCTTTATATTTTTGTTGCTGTT